AATAAAGAGAATGTAAAAGTTAGAAGTCACTCCTCTTGTCCCCCCTTCCCTCGTTCCACTGTTTAAGAATGATCTGTCTAAGGTTCTGACTCCATGGGGAAAAAATGCTGGAACAGGGTTGGAATCTTAAATGTCTCAGCCCCATTCCCATGTTCCGTATTCTTCTGTGTCAGATAAAAAGATGCTGGGGGAGAGTCGAGCTGGTTAAATGCCGAAAGGCAGGTCATCATCAGTGTGCCGCACCCTCCATGGAAGGTCTGACATTAGTCTAGTGGTAAGAATGACAAGGTGAGGACACCATCCTGATGAGCGTCCTCACCAACATGGGATGCATTCACATGAGCTTGGAGTTAGTGGCCTTTCATGAAAACAGAGTTTAGGACAACCAGAGGAACTTAGAACCTCTCTGCGCCATATGGCAGTAGGCCATAACACCATACATGACAAAACCGATTTTTGCATTTTCTGATTTGTTACCGATTTATGTCATGGTGCCTCTTAGCTGTCACTTTTTATTCTTAAAAGTGATAAAAATGCATGGGGCGCTTGGGTGGCTCAGTCGGTTAAGCATCCGACATCGGCTCAGGTCATGGTCTCACAGTTCCTGAGTTCAAGCCCCTCATCGGGCTTTGTGCTGACAGCCCGGAGCCTGGAGCCTGCTTGGGATTCTGTGTCTCCCTCTCTCTGCCCCTCCCCTGCTCACTATCTCTGTCTCTGAAAAATAAACGCTAAAAAAAATTTTTTTTTAAAGTGATGAAAATGCAGAACTTACCAAAAACCTCTACAATTTGGACTGCTAGTTTGGCCTTGGACATAATCTTTACACCACCCCTTTCCCCATGGGTAAGGTTTGATTCAAGTGTGAAAGGCAGGAAGTCAAGTTTGGGAGTGCGATCATGACATGGGGAAACCTCTGGAGAGATTTTGACTTAGGGTGTTAGCAGCCACGCATAGAGAACAGAGAACAATCTTCTCTGGTTAACATTCAAGAATGGGAACACAGGAGTTTCGCTAAGAAGGGAGCCAGAGGGTCTTGAATTCAATTCAGAAGCGGTACAACAAGGCTGACATTTTGAAATATAATTACCTATTCCACATTTTTGAGGCGATTCACTGTTTCCAGAACACACGTTGTCGTGAGTTGCATTTCCTTTTTGAGTTAGAAGGAGACCAAATGCACTGCAGTTTGTGTGTTTTCTACAGGGTGCTTTAGATGACGTCTCATTCGAGAAGAACCCATCTGGACATCTCTTGCAAACTGTATTTCGCTCCGGGGTTCCTACAGAAAATACCAAGCAATTTAGCACCCTCTTCCCAAACACTTTTGCAGCAGACATTCTCTAAATAAAGACAGTCTTGGAAAGACTTTTCACTTGGTTTTTACTGCTACTATTATGTTGCACAGACTTGAGGCATTTTGATTTTTCCCTTCATTAGACAGAGAGAACAAAACTTCTGCAGTTAGTAGCCCCTCAGGCTACAGCCTCTCCCATCCCTGTCATCCAAACACAAATGTGTTTTGCTGTTACCTACAAAACAGGAAACAAGAGGAAAGGAAAGAATAGGGGTGTTCATCTGTCCTGCCTGTGCGAAGCATTGGTAAAGTCTTGTTGTCAACCATAATTCTTCACACATTTCTGCTGGAAAATCATGAAGATAACTGCTGTGTACCTGCGGTAATGTCATTCTTTGAGATCAGTACCCACTGAATGCCATGTCGTTAAATTCCAAGCGGTGCCCACTGAAGTTGTCTTTCCTGAATCCTAATTGTGAAGCAACGCATAAGTATGCTAACCTTGAGAAGTAAAAATTTACAACATTATAATAAACTTTTGAAGGTGGCAATAAAGTTGGTCAGTGACTCCAAAGCTTAAGACTGCAGTTAAGCTACACGGTAAATGGGAGATGATATACCGTTTGCTTAAACTATTGAGTTTTAAAAGAGCACAGTTGTTAAAATTTCTGGGAAGGGTGACTGCAAGGGCATTTTATTTCATGGTGGAAAGATACTTGATAAGTTTGGAGAACTCACTGATTAGAAAAATTTCAACCAGTCAACAACTAAAGATAAATACCTTCAAAGCCTTGGCTCTATTATGCGTGGCTAGATTATACATTATAGGGTATTTGCATATGAAAATACCTCCATCTAGTGTAAGCTAGTTGAACAGATTCAGACTTCAATATTCAAATGTAGCTTTTCCAGGCCAATTCTGGCTCAGGGGAGATAACAAATACAAAAGAGACACCATGAAAGCTACAGAAAGTTAATAAACTTCATTTATTAAAGATGCAAACCTCCCACTTCATTGTTTCAAAACCAGAAGAGAGAAAGAGAAAGGAAGGGAGGGAAGGAGAGAGAGAGAGAGAGAAAGAAAGAGAAGGAAGGAGGAAGGAAGGAAGGAAGGAAGGAAGGAAGGAAGGAAGGAAGGAAGGAACAGAGCAAAATGATTTGGCTCTAGTTTTAGCTCCTGCCTCTTCTAACGGGATTGATGATGATGCATTGACCAGTAAAAATGACAAAGGGCTGGCAGGAAAAAAAGAGGAAGGGTCAAACTACAAGCCCAAAACTTTCACATGCCATTTCCATCTTTGCAGTGACATCGTGTTAGGAAAAAAACTTACACAGAGGTCTAATTTTTTAAGTACTTTCTTACTACACCTCTCCCCTTAAGTGGGATCCAGCTCCACACCAGTTCCTACAAAATCATAAGCAGAGGTGTTTGGGCGAGAATTCCATAGTATTCTTTCATTGCTAACACACTGGGAATCAGTGGACTTGGCCATCTGGATCCAAGTCTCCCTCTGCCAACTGACACAGTTCTGGAAAGCAAACTGCACGAAGAAGAATCTTGTCATTCTTCAGATACGTGTTGAGGGCTTGGGTCTTGCCATGCATCCCGATGAGAAAGTCAAAGATATAAGACATTCTTTCAGGTGATGTCACCTGTAAAGTTCTTTAACAAACAGAATCCAAGACTAATGGAAGTAAATGTTTCTTAATACATTTGGAGGCCTTATGTAATGGCCTTCCTGAGCAGGACTTCCTTCTTCTACCATTGTTAGAGCTTTATGGAAAAATAAAGATTTATCTATCTAAGTAAATGATTTTGCCTTATTAATATCAGTGGAAATATAAAAGGTATAATCTGACAGGCAAAATATGAGATACCATAATGGGGAGAGGAGCTCTGCTTTCCAGTTAAGGATGTCACCATTCCAGCCATAAGGAATGGCACAGGAATTACAGGACTCACAGACAGAACAAAGTCAGTAAAACGTGGAGAGGAGATGATCTGACTTCAAAGCAACAACAGCACGGAATGGCTAATACTCTTTGGAATAACACCACATAGTCCTTCCTTCTCTTCGGGCTGGAAACCTCTTATATTCCCTGAGGAACTGCTCCGTGGGTTTTCAGGGAGGGACAGGTAAATAAACCCCATGGTGGTGCCACAAAATAAAATGTGTATCTGTGTCTAACTCTTCTGACTGAGTGCTGACTTCATTCCACAAACACATTTTCACGCTTACGTGAGAAAATTTCCTTATATTGCCATTATTTCCCAAACTTTTCTAGTTTCCAAGCTGCATGGTCCCTGCTTAATTAATTTTCCTGCATATGCATGCAACTTACTGAATTGAATTAAATGGATTTGTTTTTGTTGGGTGAGTTTTACCCCCTACAATTTGGCTTAGCTTTTGAATCCGAAAGAATCATCTGATAAAAGCTAGGAAGTGTCACCAATTTCTCCCTCAAATAGTCACGCTGGAGACATTTTAAGGAACACTCATTCGGTGTGCACCTCCTACAATTGTTTGTCTACGATTCACAACTTAGGAAACGAAATAGATTTCAATTTATGCATGTTTCCTATGTATGCCTTTAAACCGAAAGTATCTGCCATCCAGTAATTTAGGCTGTGTGTATCACAACTTCTGAACGTTAAAATAATTACAAATAATTAGCATCCTCTAAACCAGTGGTCCTCAACCTTGGGCAGTTTTGGCATCCAGGAGACAACTGGCAATGTCTGGAGACATTTTTGGTCATCACAACTGGGGGAAGAGTGCTATTGGCACCTAGTGGGTAGAGACCAGGGATACTGCTAAAGTAAGGGAATATTCTTAATTTTCCCAAGTCACTCGAGAATACACACTACATCGGAAGCTTCATGAATGTGATAGGGAAAAATGTAGGTTGCAGCTTTAAAAGATTCAATGCACGCTGGTCTTAACCTACACTGTTCAAAATGCAAAACGAGAAAGTACTTTGTTTGTAGACAAGCACTTACTCTTGACTTGACAATCTGTTTTGTCTCAGATAAAGAATAAGCTCATTTTAGAGATGCTGCTGGTCTTTACCCTCACAGACACTCGACTCCCACACCAAGGGAAGAACTAGCTTCATTTTTAATGATGAAATGCATTTCCCCTAACCATTCGCATTTTTTACATAATTAATTGTAACTGCTCATTGTTAGCACTCCAGAGCCTCATTAATATCAGTCTAATTACTCTCTTGGTATCAATTATCATTTCTGATGTTTGTCAAAAAGCACAGCAGTCTGAAGCTGTCCATGCTGAAGGGAAACATAGGGGTATCATATATCAGCTATAAACAGTGCAACTCACAGTGTGTCCCCTTTAAAAAAGAGCAATCCATCACGCATCTCATTAGAGGGCAGTTTGCCACACTTGAGATTTGTTACCAAATTGCCCCAGCGTGGCAAAGTGTTCCTCCGAGAAATGGTCCTCTGGCAGCAATCCAGACACATAGCACGTACCGAGCAGGTTCCATTACCTTTGCAATTTGCTATCCTATAATATAATCGGGGCAGAAGTGTTCCCTTAAACCTTCGCTACTACCTGACTTTGTGCGATCTCGTTAATTTTGCCGCGCGCTGAAAGCCAATGCGTACCAGCGTGGAGCACTCCAAACCCGGGGGGGCAGCTTCTGTGCTTCAGGCAGAACTCAACCTCGAGGTAGCGCCCTTCCTCGCACTCGCACACGCGGTTGTGGGTGCGACTGCACTCCTGCTTGACGTACTGCAGCTCCTTGCACACCGTTGTGCAGTACAGACACTCGTCACTGGTGTGCCACTTGTCTGTGTAGTAGTGGTTGGGACAAGGCGCACACACGGTCTTCTGCCTGGCCGTACAGTGCTGTTTTAGGAAGGTGCCGGGAGGACATTTGTCACACATCAGCTGACGCGAGGTTTCTGGGTCATAGTGAAGGTACTTTGGAGGAAAGGTTTCCTGGGTGGTCCATTTAATGGAGATGTCCAGGAACTAGGAGAGAGGGAAACGGCGGCACATTAGCACGGAGACAGGGTGGCTCTTCGGGGCAAAGGTGCCGTCAGACTCCAAAAGTCCTTTACTACATGAAGCCTCATTATCTTCCTGCCTGCAGGGCTGCACCACACAAAGTAAGTTCAGAAGCCATGATTTTCGCCTCCAGTAGCTTACTCTCAAAGGCCAAGACGGGGCTGGCAACACACATTATAGTAAGCAAACCCAGGCTCATGGGTGACAGGAGGCTTTATCTCCCTGGGCTTCAGGATTATGTCTCGATTAGTGAGTTGGATGGATTAGTGGTTCTCAAAACAGCTATGCCAGAATCTCCTAGACTCCCCGATAAAATGCAGACTCTTGGCACTCATACTTCTACTGCCCATTCAGATTCCACGGGTGTGAAGGTGAGATCAGGGGGCTTAAAAATATTCCTGCAGTGACTCCGATGCGTGGAGTCCATCCTCAGTAATGATTCTTTCATTTATCCACTTCATAAATAGTTACAGAGCCATTAATATGTGCCAAGCTCTGTGCTGGGCAATCAGAATGCAGCAGTAAGTAAAACATTCAGGAATCCCTGCTCTTGGGGGGTGGGCAAGAGAATAAATAACAAATTACGGATAAATTATGTGCTAGAAGGTAAGTGTTGTTAAAAAAAAAAA